ATCCAGCCGCTGCTGAATCTGACCAGCAGTGGCTGAATCAGGATGCCTGGGGCAGAACAGCTGGGGTGCTGCCCGGTTTGTCTGCAGACCAGGGGGACGGGGAGGGGGGGGCAAAGCAGAGCCAAGCCTCGGAGCGCGTGGGCAGCGGACAGCCCTGTCCGCTGCCCACGTGTTCCGCCGCTTTGTTTCCTCTCCCTGGTCTGCTGGAGACCAGGGAGAGGAACCCCGTTCGTAACTGCGGATCCGACATAAGTCGGATCCGCGTAACTCGGGGACTGCCTGTACAACTTTCATCAAAATCTTTGGATCTGGTCTTAAGGGCACTTTATCATTGATGAACTTCATGTATGAAGTGCCTGTGATCAGTACTTGAAGTTCTCCCACTGTTCCGGCTGATAGTATTGCAACAAAAAAAGAAATCCTTTGAGGAAAGTGAACGAGAGACAATTAGCTAGAACAGTGGTTTTTAAATCTATGGTCCACAGACTATGTCTAAGATTTCCAAAAGAGGACACACCTCGATTTGAAAATTTCAGGGTTCTGCAACGAAAAAAGGTTAAAAACCTCTGAACTAATGGCTCAAATGGCCGTCAACACTGTGTTTAAGTCCCAAATGGTAATATCATTTTTAGAGGGGTACAGGAGACACATAATACCCTGAGGAATCTAACCAGTATTGATTTACAAAATACTGACTTTCTATCAATTGAAGATGAATGGTTTTCTTGCCTGAAAACAATATGTTCAAAGTATGCGATCATATAATAGCATCAAGACACTGTATAAGAAGTCTAATCCAAAATAAGAAATAAGACAATTAAATAAATTTATTAACCCATTAACAGAGTCAATGGTTGATCGTCACAAAAATACTTGAATAAATGTACTGGATCATATAATATGTATATCTCATAACTATTACTTCCGGAAAGTATATTTACCCAAGCAAGAGTTCAGGTGAACGGTACCACCTGGTGGCCACATATTCTGTATAGTTTGCATTACTTCCTTCTGAGAGATTCCGAGCAAAGCCTACAAAAAAGATAATTCAAAAGATTATGTCCCCACCTCAATGAAGATTTACATACCACTACTGATTATAGTATTAAAGGTCAAATCAATTTTTTGTGTTCAACCAAAAATGAAATACAAGCAAAATTCCAAGCACAGTAACCTATATAAATAAAAAAAGAGTTAGCATGACAGGTATTGGGTATTGTAGGTGCATTATGGTACAAGCTTTCCTTTCCACTTATAGTAGGGAATTTCTAGCCACTACTTATGGGGAATAAAATCATTGTGCTTATACCCAAATAAATGTGTTAGTCTTTAAGGCACCACAGGACTCCTAGTTGTTTTAAAAAATATATATATAGGAATATGTCAACTTATGTTTTGGAGCTATATTTGATTTATAGAACAACTATGTTTAAAACCATATTTCACAGCTGCTCCAAATCACAGGTTAGAGATCTTTACACATCAATGTGCTATATAAAAACATGAATATACATTAATACACATGCTGTAGAATTTAAAATTTCCACATTGTTTATTTGTAAGGTAAAAAGAGCTTCCATCAAAAAATAAAAAGGAAACAACTTACCAAAGTCACATAACTTCAGAACATCAGAGTGGCTTATTAAAAGATTTTCTGGTTTGATATCTGAAATATCAGAGTAAGAAAAAAAAGTAAGATAGTTCCTAACATCCATTTTTAATTTTCAACTTGCTAAAAGCCATTATTTAATTGTAAAAGGATTACATTTAATACAGTGGTATAAAAAAGAGACTGTATAAGAAAATACTTGTAACCAGTACAACTAATTTTCAAAGAATCCTTTACTTTTTTCTAAACATGTAGAATTCATAGCTTCTGTATCAGTTTCTTTAAAAAAAAAATCCTCAAAAGAAACACATCAAGGCTGTGTCTAGACTGGCCAGTTTTTCCGGAAAATCAGCCGCTTTTCTGGAAAAACTTGCCAGCTGTCTACACTGGCCACTTGAATTTCCGCAAAAGCACTGACTTCAGTGCTTAAGAAATCAGTGCTTCTTGCGGAAATACTATTCTGCGCCCGTTCAGGCAAAAGTCCCATTTGCGCAAAGCTTTTGCGCAAAAGGGCCAGCGTAGACAGCTCAGATTTGTTTTCGCAAAAAAGCCCTGATCATGAAAATGGCAATTGGGGCTTTTTTGCGGAAAAGCGCGTCTAGATTGGTACGGACGCTTTTCCGCAAGAAGTGCTTTTGCGGAAAAGCATCCGTGCCAATCTAGACGTTCTGTTCTGAAAATGCTTTTAACAGAAAACTTTTCTGTTAAAAGCATTTCCGGAAAATCATGCCAATCTAGACACAGCCGAAAAGTAAACCTGCACTTGCATTTATGCAAGAGCCCAAAATTAACTTGTGCATTTGGAGATGTTATTTAATTACCCAGTTTATTTGCAAATGTAAGATATGTAACCTCAATATTCGTACGCTTAAAATTGCCTTCGAGACTTATATTATGTTTGTCTTCTAGACATTTTTTACTCTCTAGTTTCATAAATATATTGTTTACTCAGATACAATTAGAATAGTACCTGTTGAGTACATGCAACCCCATATATCATAATTAAATTTTTACAAAATATTTAAGAAAAGTTTTCTTCCTTATATTTTGTTCAATTTCATTTAGAAGTCATTTTGTTCTCTATTTGAATTCCATTATTGAAACTATATATTTAAAAAATTCACCCTGGGGAGCCATGCAGGAAAATAAGTTTTATGAAGAAAGAACGTATTAAAATTCAGTAAAGCCACATCTTACAGTATGTGTTACAGAAATAATAAAGGGAAAATAGCAGGAAGGAAAAATGCAACTCATAATAAACATTTTCATAATTCCTTTTCCGTTGGAAATGTTTCCATTGTAATTACAATGCATTATGTAAATAGCACACTCTTGTCTCTAATAATACCAAGGAGACAGCAGCCTATTATATTATGTACAGGATTAACATAATTTTATAGTAATCTTAGGTTCCCATGCTTTTGGTGGCTTCTAGGGAGAAAGTTTAGCAGTCTTGTTTGGAGGGAAGTCTATTTCTATAGGTATTTATATAGTAGTCTCTTATGTAACTTAGATGACTTCAGGTAAGCTTAATTTTAATGAAATATTTTTTCTATATCCATTTACATGTGGTTTCTTTTAAAGGACCCTTTTTGGTTAAAAATCCAAATACATTTATTATAACACAATTTTTACAAGTTGTAGCCATTTTCCCTATTGAAAGAAAATTACTGAAGGAGATTCATTTCCATGTAGAAAGTTATACACACTTACCTCTATGAACAATATCATTCTTATGACACCAGTTAATTGCTTTGATTAACTGGTAGATATAGCTTTTTACTTTTTCAGGTGGAACTCCATTTGGCATTTCTTCTAGCAACTCAAGCATATTCTAAATGTTCAAAATATAGATATTAGTTGATAAAAGTACCTTGGCCCACAATATGGTTCTAACATACTAAAATACCATAATTATGCCAGTAAATGTAGCTCTGCAAACCAGCAGTTTAACATCCAAGGAATATAATCTAGCCATATATACTATAGCCTGCTTTCATTCTAGACAAAGATCTATTGAATACCATCTTCTGTAAAGGTGATCCAAAAGCTCTTGTTAAAAGATAACTGATTAAATCCCCAGATAATTATCCAAGTTATTGATTTAAACTGCTAAACTATACAGTATGAACTCATTTTACTTACAAATAATTGCTTAGAACACAATTCCCATATATCATGTAACATGAACATTTCTCTAAAGCAGAGCATTTTACTCCATATCCTAATGGTATTTATGCCAGTGCTTCCTGAACTTTTCAGTCAGTTGTACCAGTTTCACATACTAACGCCTTGTCTACACACAAAACTTCATCACTTTAACTATAACTATATGGTATATGCTATAGGGTCTGAGAACCTCAGCCTTAAAAACTGATCTTTGAGCTAGAAAATGGAAAAAATAGTTTTGGATATTTTGTTTTCCACTGTCTACAGTTCGTGATTTTGGAATTTCACAGATTTTAACATTTACAAATGCATTTCACCTCACCTTTGGTGCACATTTTCTTTTATTCTACAATCTAGTTTTGAAGTTATTCTTAGAAGCTGTCGTAATTTATGTATGCATGATACAAAGCATACATGAAAATCAAAGTATTTTTAAAATATGATATTTCAAAGGTACTTAGATGCTTTTCAATCTATTGATAGATTTAGTCATGTAAAACTATGGGGTATGGGTTTTGTTAAAGCCATATCTAGGATATGGACAAATGAGCACAAATAGGTCTATTAAGACACTATAATGGAGTTAGACAATAGTACTGTTCAGTAGGACGCATTTAAAAAAAAATGGACTAATATGACAGTAACTTCCTTAGTGTTCTAATCTGGACCAGAATAGCAGTGCCAAGTGTGTGAAGCATAATCCTACAAGCTTACTGACAACATCAGCTAAGGAGATGATGGATAAAGGAGACTAGCTAAATCTGGATTTAGTGTAATCCGGATTTTAGTATTGCAGCGATAATATTCTTTAAAGGACAAAATATGCTCAATCACCAGTGTAGAGGCTAAACAGAAAGTGGCTAATTATACTTTGTTTAATTCTTCTCCCCACATCTCACTTAAAATGGAAGAGCTGCCTATACATTTATTATGTCCTAAAATATCTATAAAGGATCCATTTAACATATTCTGAAAACAAGAATCATTTATAAACTGCTAAGTGTAATTGAAAATAAAGATAATTACAATGTAATGATATCAAGCAAAAACTAAGCACAGTGGCTGCCTCGATGATTATATAATTTTACATCCATAGAAAGTAATGTTGGGTCACAAAAATAAATGTCCTTCCTAATACACTAAGTAAATACATAAACAAAACACGTGAAACCTACTGTATTCTCTTGATATTTATTAATAATTCAAAATATCTGATTATTAAACTACAGATAAAATATTCATCTTTTTCATTACACTGGTCTTCTGTACTATTAGTATAGTAGTTTTAGTAATGTCAGCATTAATAAAAACATATACAATAAAGTATAAATACAACTAAATGTACAGCATCATTCATATCTTCATCTCTGTATTTTTATGCACGCGCGTGCACACACGCGCACACACACACACAAAATTAACTTTCAGAAAACTGCATTAATCACAGTGAGCACAGGTAGATTAACACAGGAACTTTAGAATCCAGACATTAAGTCTACAGAGGACCTAATGCAGTGATTGTCAGGCAAGTGCATCACAAAATGTATGGACAAAGAACCAGAATATGCCACGCAGACTTAGTGTCACCTCACTCTAGATACTTCCGATCACATTATATGCTCACTTTCAGGTAAGGCAAGCAGGTAGTGGTAAGGAGTCTCATGAAAATTCATTCAGCAAGCACTGCACATACTGTTAGTAACAAATATTAAGGGCAGGAAGGACAATATCAGGGCAGGACTAGTTCCCAGTTGGTCCATAGCACATCAGCAGCAGGAAATCAAATTAGTTTTTAAGGAAAGAGAGCAAAGCTAAACGAAGGTTGCAGCAAAAATAAGTATCTAGGGTTTTTTTTCCCCCAATGAAAAGACACAGAAATCAGAGTCTAGAATACTGAGTTACAGCCTACTCTTGCCCAAAAGGGCTTACAAGTGAAGGACTAGACTGTTCTAGTCTGCCTCCTACACAAAGTAGATGAAGGTATAAGGAGTGCTACTATAAGGACCATGGGAGTTAGAAAGAAAATTGTGGAATGAATTCTGATGACATCAGGAATGGAAGGAACTTAAGTCAGTGATGAGGAGATTTTGTAAGTCCTTCAAATTAGTCTGTTTAAAACATTTAAAACTGTTGTCCAAAGATTATTATTTTCATGTAGAAATCTAATGAGTGACCAATCTTATTTTTAACAGCAAAAGGAGAAAGAGAAAGAAACAATAGAAACACATGGACAACAATCTATGCTCCTGTGTTGGAAAATATACTATAGAAGGGATCTCGAGGAAAACACTCAACAACCAGCGAAACTTCAAATTTAACTGGTTTATGGACCACTGGGCAAAAACAGACAACCATTCCTCAAACTGACACATAATCCAGTCTAATAATACTTGCTTGATTTTATTCTCTGCTTCACATTTATAGCATGTCTGAGGTAGACAAATAACAAGCCACTGTATTATATAACTATTACTACTTGCGTCATTTGTGTAATTTTCTTAGCAGGAGAGATAAGATATGTGCATTCCGTTTAAATTGCATTTATCTTTCTCAGTTTCCCATTTTTAGACTAAAATACCTTCATAGGCCTGCGCATGGGGTGTGCCCAGGCACATCCTAATGTCTCGGGCCAGCCAGCCAGAGCCATTTTTGCGCCCTGGGCCCCAACCGGCCCGACAGCACTGCGTGGCCCAGCAGCACCTGGGAACACCCCCGCCCAGCACAGCAGCGCCGCACAGCACCCCTGAGGCTCCCAGGAGCACCCCCACCCAGCCCAGCAGCTCGGTGCGGTGCCCCTGAGGCTCCCAGGAGCGCCCCAGCCCAGCCCGGCAGCATGGTGCGGTGGCTCCTGAGGCGCCCCGGGCTAGGACCCGGCTGGCCTGTAGCTTGAGCCAGCTCTGACTCCAGCCCTGCAAATAGGAAGGCAGAAGCTGAAGGTAAGGTAAGAGAGGGGACGAGAGGGGAAGGGGGGAAAAAAGAGGAAGGGGTGGGAGAGGAAGGGGCTTGTGCTGAGGGGAGGGGGCAGGTCAGGAGAAGAAAGGGGAGGCACCAAGGGACAGGGGTGCAGGAGAGACAAATGCCAGTGGGGCCAAGTGCAGACAATGAAGAAAAGGGCAGGAGGGGAGGTGTCAATGGGAGGGGGGACAGGAGGAGAGGGTAAAGGCATTGAGAGTTAGAGGGGGAAGGGAGAGGTGCTGGAAGGAGGCTTGAAAGAAGGGGTGGGCATGAGGAAGGCAGGGAGGCATGGGCATGAAGGGAATGGGGGCAGAGGGAAATGGGGGCAGACGGTGGTGAGGGGTGGGCACCAGGGAAAAAGCAGGCAGGGGCAGTAAGGGAAGGGGGAGGCACCAGGAGGGTGCAGGGCTAAGGGAAGGTGCAGGTGCCAGGGGATTCTGAGGGTGAAGCAGAAGGGCAGACACCTGCAGGGGAGGGACCAGCACCAGAGGAGAGAGGCAGGGCAGGTGTGTAGAGGGAGGTGTTAGAAGAGGGGTTGAGGAGGGGTAGCTCATCTGATCAATGTGGGGCTACTGGAGGAGTGGGCACAGGAGGAAGAGAAGGGCTGGTGGAGGGGGACAGGTCTCAGGAGGGCTGAGGTCAGTGAGAAGGGCAGGAGTCAGGACAGCAGAGGAGGATGAGGGGTTGGGGGGTAGCAGGCACCAGGGGAGCTGATGGAGCACGGGGAGGAAACATGGCAGCAGAAGGAAAAGGTAAAGTTTTATGAGATAGTTATTAATAACTTGGGTGTCACCGTGGCACATCCAAACAAGCCACATGAACTCAGTACTGGTGCACAACACAAAATTCATTCTGCTCTTGGGAAGAAACGGAGGGAACACTTCTCCCAGCCTCTCTGCCCCCAAGTTAATGTCACACACATTGGGTTAATGCAATTGCAGGATAGTTGCATGCGGGGAGTTTGGTGGGGGCCAAATTTCCCACCGTCCTCCTACCAACAGGGATTAAAGTCCTTGGGGGGGGGAGTCACATGACTTCTGGTTATGTGCCCATCTTGCCCCCAGAGTGTTACCTCCAGAGGTGTGACCAATAGGGGTCAGTGGTGTGGTTAACAGAGGTCAGGGGTGTGGCTAATGGGGGGGTCAATGTACATTTAAAAAAAATTCTTTGGGTGTACACCCTAATGAAATGTGCTGCGCACGCCTATGAATACGTTCATTTTTAAAGCTCAAATCCCTGCACTGATTTTGCTCTGAAATGGATGTAAAAGATCAACTCACTTTTTCCACATATTCAAACACTAAGTATAATTTTCCTCTTCTTCTGAAGGCTTCCTTCAGCTCCACTATGTTTTCCTGTTTCAATGTGCGAAGCATTTTAAGCTCTCGTAAAGTAGTTTCTTTGACTTCCTCATTTTCTAAAATATAAACAATGGTAAGTGAGGTAAAACAAACCTTAGCAAAGAACAAGAACCTTAACTGTACAGTTAACAACCTCTACAGTAATGTACGAAATTCAGTGGACACTCATAGTAAAAAGAAATCTAAAAAACTGTAAGATATTTAAATGATTTTCATGATTATGTCTGCGGGTCTACATATACAACTATTAATATGGACTTCAAGCACTCAGGGTATGTCTACACTACCCCGCTAGTTCGAACTAGCGGGGTAATGTAGGCATACTGCACTTGCAAATGAAGCCCGGGATTTGAATTTCCCGGGCTTCATTTGCAAGTGCGGTATGCCTACATTACCCTCCTAGTTCGAACTAGGAGGGTAATGTAGGCATACCGCACTTGCAAATGAAGCCCGGGAAATTCAAATCCCGGGCTTCATTTGCAAGTGCGGTATGCCTACATTACCCTCCTAGTTCGAACTAGGAGGGTAATGTAGGCATACCGCACTTGCAAATGAAGCCCGGGAAATTCAAATCCCGGGCTTCATTTGCAAGTGCGGTATGCCTACATTACCCTCCTAGTTCGAACTAGGAGGATAGTGTAGACATACCCTCAGACTCTAAACATTCAAAGAATAATTAATCATTGCACACCTCTCTCTGATACCCACTGATGAAGGTTTATTATTTAACTTGGGCTCCCTCTGCTGCTTGGCTGGCTCTGCATCAGAAGGAGGAAAATACTATACAATTGTGTAAACCTGATATCCCTCCTCCCACCAATGGATCTAGTAAAGATCTGAACCCATTGTTCAATGGAGTCTAGGATTTCAATCTTAGACTTTTTAGATTCTTTAAGACAGGGACTATCATTTATCATAAGTTAGCACAATTGGGCCCTGACTTAGCTGTCCTCAGGGCAATAATTGAGTATAAATGTCAGCCAACATAATTAACAAGCCAGCCAGCCAACCATTGCCCTTCATACTGTTAAGCTTGTTTAAAATAACAGTGTTGTCAATTTCAGTGGATAATATCAATGTTTGGTTTTAAGCTTTTTTTTTTTTTAAAGTATTTACTGACTTGATTTATATATACACTGAAATTTATTACTGACATTTATTGACAAAATCTAATTTTTCCAAGCCTACATCTGGTAGCCATCTGAATGAAATATTTTTAAAATCAATGAAATTATCATCCAAAGGCTGAACCTGGCCCTTAATTTCAAGACAGAAATATTTTTGTGAATAAAGGAGCGGTTGTGTAGATTCAAACTAATTGACAAAAAGCAGGTTACACAGAGCACAAAGAAGAAAAAGAAATTGGAGGTAAAGCAGAGAGAAGAAATAGTGAAGAGATGGGAAGAAAGAGGAACATTAAAAACAAAAAGTTTGAGATTAAAAACAAAAGAGAAACAATGTCAACCATTTCATTTAAAACCAAATGTGCCAGTTGGCCTACATCAACCTGATTACATATTTCCTCTTTTCACTAGATGCCCTTCTTCAATATTTCATTACCACATACATATCAACAGCAACACATTAAGGCATTAAAAGACAATTAAAATTCAATTATGAATTGAACACAGATGAAGTACTGTGTTAAATGTGACTGTTATGCAATGCTCTGAGTTCAATTCTATTGAACATTTTGTATATTTTCCCTGAAACTACTGTTAACAACTGGCACCAACACAGAATAGCAGTCATCAGACAGGTAAACTGACATGTGAGGGGATGGTACCCTATGGAGATGGACGGATGGAAGTAAGGCAAGATAATAATGTGTTCTATAAGCTATTCAATGTACTTCCTGAAATCTGGGCAGAATAAGCACCCTGTGGAGAACTCAGACAGTTGTTTTTCCTAAGACAGGGTTTTCTCTAACAGCCAGCACCAGTCCTGAAAAACTATTCTGAAATAGTGATGATTTGTTTGATACGGATCACCACAATTCACTTCAGCCAGTATTTTCTGCTTTGGGCATAAAAACAAGACTTGTGAATGACAAAGCTAAGTGACTTATTGAATATCTTATCCAGGCATCTTGGTGTTGGTCAGAGTTTGCTATGGAATGGCTAATGGCCACATGAACATGCAATTGGTTGTCAAAAATGTATCAGGAAAGTTAGATTAATCCAACGCAAACAGCTCAGATAAAACATTTGGCAAAATCTAATAGGTGGCATTTTGAACTATATAATTAAGGCTATAAAGAGCATTTGGCCAGCACCCCAGGAGGAAGAAGTAAGCCTCAGGAAGGAATTGAGCCTTTTTGGTAGAAAATTTCTCATCTGCTGCCGCTTTGCTCTAGTGGGGAAGAATGTCACTTCACAGTTGCCTCAAGCCAGTTCTGATGGTCAGTGCACAAGCAGCAGGGAATAAAGCCCTCCTCTGCTCATTTCCTTTTACTGTACGTTCCCTACTTCCTCCCTATTTTGACATTCTGCCTGGAGCCATAATTCAGGCCATACTAATGAAGCTGCACGAGAGAGGTAGGTGGGGCTAGGGAAGCAGAACTTAGTCCTTTGTATGGCTACCTATTCAAGGGTACAATCTAGCCTTCAGACAGGGGTTAATGTCTCAAAGCACAAGACTCTAGTACAGCTAACATACCATCATTCACGTTGTAATTTTTAAGTTCTCCCTCATATGTGAGGTCTTGTATTTTCATCAAGTATCAGTAACATGTTTGTTTAAATGATCACAGAGGAAACAATTACCTTCACTATCTTTGAATTTCTTGATAGCCACAATTTCATGTGTCTCCTATAAAACAAAAAATAAAACAGGAGATGAGAAAGGCAAGATATTTTTGTCTAAATACTGGGTCAAATAAAATACCCAGATTAAATACAGTGTTTTCATTTTACATTTGCAAAAGGCACACAAAGCAACAACAAAAATGAATATAGAATCTAGTAAAAATCAATATACACGTATATTCAGTAAATATGCAATTTGACACCTAAATATGAAACTTTTAAGGTAGACACCAAAAATGCATATTCAGATAGATAAAATGAATAGCTTTGTTTTCAAAAGAGCTAAGGGCAGCTTCCATTGCTCAGCTGCTCTGAAAATGAGGCCATTTCTTTGGTTAATCGAAGTATGAAATTAGATGCCTATAGCTGTGCAATCAAAGGTAAAAGGTAAAGGTAAAGGTAAAGGTAAAGATATTACCCAATAGCCAAGATTTACAAGACTGACTAGTGCTCGAGTCCTCCAACTTGAAAACACCTGAAAAGTGTGAGAGTTTTTCAGAGGGTGGGAACACTGCACTTTCTAAAAATCTGATCCTGTTAAGGTAACTTACATTGGGGAGCCAAAAATCATCATCCCAAATCACTAGTCATTTTTGAAAAAATCTTGAAATACACCGCTTTGTATCCATTTTATTCCTGAATAGCTCTGTTTTCCCGAGAGCATCCCATACCCTCTAAAATATAAATATACAGCCTATTCATATAGGGCAAATATGAACATAAAGAAAGTTTTACTTGCTGTCTCATGTACTTGTCTATATAGGATGCTGCAATATGCTACAAGAAAGTCTCTAGGCTGCCCACTGTAGCAGGTATATCTCTTTTCAAATGTCAATATTTCAGAGACTTCACACAATTCAAAAGTCTGTCATCATACAGAGACTGAATTAGGGACCAGCAGTAGAACAGTTAAGTCATTTTGGAACATGCTCGTGTTTTGTTATATTACAAATGAGAAACACATGCACGGATCATTATTAAAGCAGAATATAAGAGCATCTGTTCTCTGTCCTTCAATGTCATCAAATGGCCTCAATATGAGATCCTGAATGAATAGTTTATCCCATCTATAACAGCATGTTGGAAGACTATCGTTTATTTCAGTGGGCATTGACTTGGGCCCTTTGAGAGCTTTATAAAATCATCCAGTATTAGCAATATTTAAATTAATACAAAAGGCTTTGCATATTTATTTTAGAGCTGTTTGTGTGAAAACATTAAAAATCTCAGTCAGCTGTTCAAGACAAACACTCTGTCTTTATGCTTGCCCAAAGCATAGGGTTGCCAACTTTCTAATGGCAAAAACCCGCACCCTTGCCCAATCCCTTATCCCATCCCGAGGCCCTGCCCCAGCCCACTCATTCCATTCCCCTTTTCCTCAGTTGCTTGCTCTCCCCCACTCTTGCTCACTCGTTCATGTTCAATGGGCTGGAGCAGGAGGCTAGGGTGCACTAGGGCATGAGGGCTCCAGCTAGGGGTGCAGGTTCTCGGGTGAGGCCAAAAATGAGGGGCTCAGGATACAGGAGCTGGGTCTGGGCTGGGACTAGAGCATGGGGTTGAGTTGGAGGTTTAGGAAGTAGCAACATGTTCCTCCAACTCCTAGGCAGAAGCTGGTCAGGGGACTCTGCTATGCACTTCCCCTGCCTTCAGATGCTTCCCCTGCTCCTACCAGCTCCCCGATGAGGTTCCTGGCCAATGGGATTGCAGAGCCAGCATTCAGGATGAGGGTAGTGTGCTGAGCCCTCACAGCCACTCCAGACTCCAAGGATTCTGAGGAGCATGTCACCACTTCCCAGGAGTCACGCGGAGCCAGGCAGGGAGCCTGCCAGCCTTGCTGCACCATTGACCGCTTTTAACAGCCTGGCTTCCAGGGTCCCTTTTCAATTGGATATTCTGATAAAAACCTGGTAACCCTACTGAAGTACCAAACACATTGTTCATGTTATGTAAATAAAAGAATAATGTAGCCATAAATTCATTCTGTGATCATGATGCATGGTATTTATATAAAGTCTGGGAAATGTTATATTTTGTATTGATCTAAATGACTATGACCTCTGAATGACCTCACTGAAGAAAGTTAATTTAACAAAAGCAACTTGTGTATAAGTCATTTTTGCTGTTAGCTCCTGATTCTCTCTCACTGTACATAGCCTACCAAAACCCATCCTAAATATACTGGCCTAATTTGAAAGCTCATGTGTTATTTCAGCTGGACTTATGTAAGACAACTAATCAAGAAACAGCTCTGCTCACCAACTGCAGAAAAAGGAATGGATGACAAAGCTGAGGACATAATATTGAACTATATTTAGACGACTGACCCATTCAGAAAATGGGTCTCTCTCATTTCAAATAAGGCCACACACATACATCTATGATAAATTTGAGAGAGCTTGTTTGTCTGTCCATTTGTTCAAGAATATCTCCTAAACGGTAAGAGTTAAGACAACCAAATTTGGTATACAGCTTCCTCTTATCATAACTTAAAGCAATGTGAGGGTTTGATTGCGCAGGAAAATGAGATATGCATGGAATAGGATTGCATCTCAAAAATCATACAGGAAAGGCTGGCAGCGCCCCTTCCTCATCTGGGACTGTCCACTCCCCAGATGCTGGTGGGAGGTGGGAGGCTGAAGGTCACCATTCCCCAGATTCTATGGGAAAGTTGCTGGGGTAGTTCAGTTTCCACAGGACAGCCTGCATACTGAACTGTTCATCCCCCAACCCCACTCCAGAGCAATGATTTAAATGATACATGTACATTTTCATTTTATTTTCCAAAAAACAAAAAATTGATTAAAGGACTTTTATTTTCCAAAAACCAAAAAATTGAAGGGGCAACGCCAGGTAAATCTTCTAGTATCTCATAATTAAAAGTTTTTAAAAAGAAGAAAAAAGTAGAAATGGCAACTAAATAGCAGGATCTTCGGGGGACTGTGATGATGCGTCTTCTTGAGAATTTACTTTTCTATCTATCTAGTTTTTTAGGAATCATTGCCTATCCTTAATTGAGTGATCAACCTTAGGAATTAGATTGTTGCACAAGTTGCAGAAGACTCAGTCCCTCAAGAATAGAAGCAGTATTTTCTATCAAAGGAAGTACTCATAATCCAACCAATGTACAATCTATCCAGTATCCTTCCTCTGGCTACATCAATATATCAGAGACTTTGAAGGTTTTTCAAGAAAACAAACCTAATGGGGGTTTACCCTGGTCTTCCCGGCACTCTAGCCAAAGAGCAGGCTCAAGGGCTAATTCCATTCCGTTTGCCCAGATGAAGAGCAGAGCTAGAACCCTGCTTCCAGGCTGGAACATTGAGCAGGCAGGAAGATCAGGGCAAGACTCTGCACATGGACCCCACTCTTCAGGTGCACACCTGGGCCCAAAGTCCCCTGGCCAGTGTGTCCATTCCTCTCCCCCCGCTCTCCCTACCCAGGCTGGTTGGAGGGAAGGCAGCCTGATCCTTTCTGTCCCATCCCTCCCCTGCCCTCTATTATGCCCAGAAACCTGAAGTTGGAGCCCACTAATTGTTCTCTTTCGACCACACCACTGGTATGAGGAACAGACTACAGTCTTGTCCATCCTTCATTCCACTTGTGTTTGCAAAGTCAACTCTTGCTGTGAACTCCTCCACATGAAAGCCAACGGCTGAGCAAAGATCTGGTGATAAGAACTTCGCAGACTTTCTCTTGGGTACTGACATAAAACATATCAAGCATACAAGCTTCTTGACGTTTATAAGGTCTACTATAAAAAAAATGGTTATTCACCTTTTGTAACGGTTATTCTTTGAGATGTGTTATTCATGTCCATTCCAATCAGGTGTATGCCCCCAACCAAAGTCGGCTATGTCAGTCACTAGTAATCAGTATGGCTGAAGGAGTAGATGGCTGAAGGGGACTCTGGACCAGGTGTTGACTGAGCCCACCCACCATCATAGGGAATTTAATACCAGGACCGGCATGTAACAATCATGTCTACGCTGTGGTGGGTTGGTCGATATACTAATGCTAGCCACATTAGAAAAGGCCTGAGCTTGATTCTGGCCTATTGCATCACATATGTACAAGCAGCCATGTCTCCAAGAAATTTAAGGCAGTTCCTTACTGTGATGGGAAACTGTGGTTCCGGATGATGTTGAGCAGGGACTAAACCCTGGGAGCAGGTACTAAAGCCCGGATTCTGGCTTTGTTCGAGTCTAGAACCAAACCTATAAATTTTATCTTTTGAAGCAAGAACAGAATGGATTTTGTGTGATTCAAGAGGACGCCTAGTTTGTCAAAAGTGTCTGTGATCAACTGAATTCCTGCCTCTACCTGGAGTCTAAAATGGCCCTTAACTCAGGATGTTAATGGTTAAAGGGTAAACTTCACCGCACTGCAGCAGGCCCGGCTGCAGCATGCCACAGGCAGGGGCACTCCTGCACAGATAGAGCAGCCTCTGTCTGTGGTGGGCCCAATCCCAGAGCTCCGCAGCATCTGCCCACTCAAGAGCCACTTGTAACAAAGTCCTTGTCACCAGGTTACTTTCATCCACAGGGAGACGAACTCATCTCAAAAGTCTTGAGATAAAAGTTCTGTGAACTTTAACAAAGCTGAGCAGATGTTATGGGCATAGCGGCTGATGAGGGCCCACTAATTAGAGATTCTAAGTTTCAGGCCCCTCTGAAGTACACTTTCCTTCCCAAAAGGGCCACCTATTTTGGGAGGAAGGCCATTGAAATCTTTGGCATTATCTCTGGTTTGCATCATCCACTAAAGAATCAGGGGGTGGGTATACAAATGTTCCTTTCCTTTAGAGGGGACAAAGTAGTGTTGCTCATTACATTTTGTTACGGTAGCAAAGAGGCAGGGGCTTGCTAGACAAACCTGGCAGTGTTTGTAATAGTCTTAATGATGGGGATAGCAATGGAGGATGGACTGGAGGAAGAGAGGATGTCCAATACAGGATCTGCATCCTCAATGACGTCCTCAGCCTGAATGCGCAGGTTTGGGGCCACC